GTCCAATTCCCAATTCGCCTATCTGAACAAAGACTTACTTCCATCTCAATTTGGATTATTAATTTTCTCATCTGAAGTAGCGCTCGTTCATTATTCCTTCTCCGTTATAGAATGCTTTTTGCCAATTAGAATGAAAGGGCAATAAATACCAATATGTAAAAATGCAGGGCGGTACTTACCCGTTATGACGTAACCCCCTAAATTAATTTTCAAAATGATATATAGGGTAGAAAAAAGTGTTGTGTCGAACGGTGTACTCTTTTTTCCCGGAGATGCATGTGGACCGAGATATAGGTCTCGAAATGGTCAAAAAACATTTTAATATGCAAATAATACCTCTATCGTGTCGAACATATTTAGTGAATGACACAGAAATCACCGTAATTGAACAAGATTAATCAAAGTTATAACACAAAAACAAACAAAATATAACTATGGGGCGTCGGTGAGGCGCTTTTGCAAAACACCGCACTTTGCGCGTCAACGGTCGCTTGGTTCTGGGCTCGTAACATAAACTTTTGCCTATGTTAGTTGCGTTGGGCATGTCTGGCTTCCTCCGCAGACATAATAAGTGAAAATAGTTGATGTTCTTTGTTAGGAGAATCACCAGTTTATTTTTGTGTGGATTAGTAAAGTCAGAAATTATTTAAGCATGGGTTAATATGTTTTTTATGCCTGTAAAAATTTACGTTTATTATTAAACAGATACTTTATATTCCTTGTATGGTATCAATTTGTAAACAAATGGCAAAAAGTACTTGTTATAAAATTATGTTCGTTATGGGCGTTATTGACATTGCGGCAATTTTATTCGTTGGACATTTAACTGGATATATGGGATATCTTGGATATGTTTATTGTTCTTCACCAGAATTTATTTATTTTGCTGGGGCCTATGTATCCTGTTTGTATATTTTCTAATTTATTAGATATTTGATATTATTAGTTTGCTGGTATACTGAATCTACACTTGAATTAATTTTAGCTATGAATCGTTGCATTGAACTTTTGTCTTCTGAAATGGCTACAAAAATTTTTAAAGGTTGGTACTGTACGATACGGTACTTGTCGAAAATCGGTTTGATTAGGTCCTACAACACTTGTTTCTAAAATATAAATAAAATATTTATCCAATATTTTCCAAATAATTAATTTATTCCAATAATAAACAATAGAGAATTATTACAAAAAAGTTTTTAGTTAAAGGAGTGAATGAATGATTGAAATCCGAAGAATGGGAAAATTACATTTAGTTTTATAGAACGTAGCTTAGTGCCACTAAGGGCGATCATTCTCAAGCTTAATCATCGCCACTAAGGGCGGAAATATTATTTTCCTATTATTTTAGCGCTAAAGTATGAGGACTTAATAGTAACAAAAGAAAAGAGAAAAGATTAAGTCCTAAGAAATAAGGGTACAAAGATCAAAAAAGAGAAAGAAATTATTCACGTGAAAAATAACTGAATAAAAAATAATTCAACTATTTAATCAACGAAATTAGATTAGTATAAGATTACTTAAATTAACTTAATTTTTTTATAAAATTGTAGGCAAAAAATTGTATATTTGGCTAGTCATTCCAATAATATATAGTTTATCTGTAATTACATCGACAAAAACAGTTGCATTTAGTGGCATTTACTTTAGCTGGTTCTTCAATCCACACATTGGATATATTGAGGATGTTAATCAAGTGATTGCTTTATTATTTGTTTAAAATATTTATCTCTTTAAAGGTATATAATGTCACTCTTCATCCAATCCACGATTTAGTTCTCATATCTTTTCTATTAATCACTTACGTAACTTTTTGCGTAATTTTTTTGTTCAAACAAGGCGGACTTCAATCTAATCAACAAAGCTATTCTGAAATAATGGTTTTTTATTACTACATGTAAATATTGTACGAAATAAAATTTTAGATTTTTCTTCAAGTACTTTTGATTAGCTCATTTAATACTTTTGCTGCTTTTATTTTTGTTTTTATGCAATATATCCACGTCAATGAAGTTATTATTATAATTGGTCAAATTTTATGGTTAAATGTACACGGTACTATATTATTAAGTCCATAAAATAAATTAGGAAAAATGATGGAAAGTTTCCATCCTTATTTTTCTGTAACGATTTGCAAAGTTCTTTATTCCTACAACTGAACAGATTCCTTAAATAGTCAACTCTCCTTCGAAATTATCTGAAAATGTCCAACAGGCTTATATCAGTTTTTAATTTGTAATCCCTGCAATTCGGTAAAAATTTGACTCTCTCTGATCTTTTTCATTTCCTATCCATATGCCAAAATATCCAAAAAATCCACGACCCATGCATATACACTGCGTTCCAAAAGTAAATGCACCCCCTAGTTTTTTTGATTTTTTATAAATTTTTCTTTGTTATTTTGATTAGACTGGAGGTTGCATATACTTTTCGAATGCAGTTTGTTGTTATAACTTTGCATATTGCCAATTTTTCAAATTTCTCTTACTTCCATTATTATTCACGCCAAAATTTCACCCAAGCATTTTTAAGATGAGAAAATCCAAAAGTGTGAAAACCTTTATAAATACTCATAACTTTTCAATGGTACTTAATCTTATTAATTAAAAACAAAAGACTGAAGTTATAAATCGAGTTGGATATGTCAAGTGTTTTTTATGAGGGGTTTTTATTTTATAAAATAAAAATTTTTTCTGAAAGGATGCAAAATCTTAATCCAAAAAATTATTTCAGGAATACCTCCAGTTGTATACTTAACAATGAACAAGACAATTCAACGCGACTGTTTTAAAACATTAAAAGAAACTGTTAGTACTATTAAACAATTTTGCAAAAGTCTACACTCAAATGCTATTCAACCTTTAATTCATCAAATAAATCTTGCAAGGGAAGATAATCAAGTAACAATGCAAAATCAACAAATGAATCAAGATTGAATTTTTTAGACTGTTGTTAATTATTTCAAGATAGTAAACATGCCAGTTATTTTTCTTCTAATACTTAGTTCTTTTAAGTTGCATATAGTTTAATCACTCATCATTAGATCTCTCAGCAGTAAACTAGCACTAATCCCTCATCATTAAACTAGCAATGCATAAATATGCATTAAGAACCGGGTTCTAAAGTGCTCGGATCCATGTAAAAACACCATTTTTGAGCGTTTCAGCTCATAGCATATCCGCATGCAAAATATGCATTTGCATGTTTTGACACGCCCTACTCATCATATTTTTATAAACTAGACCATATCTCTTAAATGCCATTCTCGTGAAAAATTTTTTGAAATTTCTCTACTTTAATTATATCTTTATTTTGAATCGAATTCCATATTTCGGTATCGTATTCTAATTCGATCTAACATGATTTGTAAGCTAGTATTAAAGTGTTTAGTTTCCTTGTTTTCATTATTCTTAAGAATTGATGGCTTTTTAGATAAACGTTTCTAACAATCCTACTTATATGCTCTGTAAATGTTAGTTTACTATCAATTATATCGCCTAAATTCCGGATATTATAAGAAAATTAATTTTTCTAAAACAATGACACTGAATCGCTTATTCATTGTTAAGTAAGTAACAGATATTCATAGGATACTTTAGATTATGGGAAGGGCATATTTCTTCCATTTCTTAGAAAAAAGGCAATTCTCCGAAAATTTTCGGTCGGTCTGGAAAGGCAAGTGCATGTTTGTTTGCAATATTTCTTTTTAAAAATTTTAATATAGACAATAATTTTTCGAGAAATAGCTATTAAATTAATAAGTTAAAAGTATTTGAGTAGGGAATTATTTTAAGTTTTTGTATTAATCGTTCAATTAAGAAATGGAAATTTCGAAAAGTTTAATATTTCTTTTTATTATTTGCTTATTGTTTGAAGTCAACGATTTATTTTAAATAAACGGAGAGAATTTCTGAATGTAAAAATTTTAATGTTTATCGTTAAATAATATGTATGTTGTAATTAGAGACCGGATCGATATAATATATCAATGGAAAATAGCGATATTCGATGTCGATATTATCGAACGATAAATTTTTTGTATTTTTTCGATATTTTTCGATTATCGATACCGATATTATCGTACGATCACTAAAGTCCGGTCTCTAGTTGCAATAAATCACAGAATGTATTTTTTGTTCTTTCTTCTATATCTGTGAATTCAGGTAAATATGTAAGAATATCTCGTATATTTTGGTTATCCCCATACAGATTCTAATTGTTATTTTGATGACAATGACTATGAGTGAATTCTATATTAATATATAAACGCATTCTCAAAATAAAAGCTGCTTCCTGTTGGGTATGTGCTTAGTATAAAAGGCGGCGGCTTTAGCCATTTGTGGGTTAATGTCTGTTAGTGTTATTCTTAGTCTTATTCTAGTGCTCCACATATTCGGCGTCGGCCATATTCCTATTGTTCGCTATTATTGTATTTAGTCTTGTAGATAAAGCACAGCTGTTAGTCTGTCTTATCTTGTTATTCTTGTTAGTACATAGACATAGAAGTCACGTACATAACACTTCCGAAATTAGACTATGTGCGAGACTATAATCTAAGTATCAATTTAGTTAAGAATCTGTTTGTGGATAACCAATGGGTCTTTCCGAGCTCTGTTGTTTAACAATGTCTCTGTTTATATCTTCATCATATTCTATTCTTCATTATCTAAAATATCATTAACATTTTGAGGAAGCTAGTTATCATTTGAATTTACAATATTAGTAATCGATAATATTAGAAATTCAAACTAAAAATATAATTAAAGTTCCCTTCCAAATATTTTTAACAAAACATCTAACACTAATTTTCGAGGTGGGGGGTATTAGGGTATTCCAACTTGTTAAAAAGTTCAGAAACTTGAGTTTATAATTAAAAAGTTATTTAAGTAAACCAACCTTGACGTTGACGGTTACTTGACATAGCATCACTTTCAGTATCGCTTCCACCTTCTCCATGTCCTGTATTTTGAAAAATTTTTAAATAAAATATTAGGCTATATAGGCTATAAATATAGGATATATTCAATGTTTTGACTAAACTGACCAGGTCGATGCGGAACGAATGGAACGTGTTGACGTGGAACAAATGGAGCAGGTTGACGAGGAACAAACGGAGCAGATGGGCGCGGAACAAACGGAGCAGATGGGCGCGGAACAAACGGAGCAGATGGGCGCGGAACAAACGGAGCAGATGGGCGCGGAACAAACGGAGCAGATGGGCGCGGAACAAACGGAGCAGATGGGCGCGGAACAAACGGAGCAGATGGGTGCGGAACAAATGGAGCAGATTCACGAGGAACAAACGGAGCAGGGTGACGAGGAACAAAAGGGCCATGTTGTGGCAGATTAACAGTCGTATTTAGATTTTGATGCAAATTAAAATTCATTCCATCTAAAAATAAAATGTAATCATTTATAAAAAACCTCCGTCAAAAAACGGTTATCGGAAAAAATATAAAAAATTGAAAATAATTTGCAGCTTTTTGCTGAATTGTTAGGTCTCAGTTGGCATCTTTCATTCTACGCTCAGGGATTAAAAATCTTTTCTCAGGCTCCTAGCATTTGAAATCTTGACTAAGAGCAAGTGATTTTCAGAGCAGTTATATTTACTCTCAAGCCACCGGGTGCAAAATCAAAGGTTAATATTTCATCTTAGGATTTGCATGGATTAGAAGGGATATCGGATGATTTGAATGCAATTTGCGTCATGTCAGGTGATTACAAGATAGCGAGTGATTCTGCGCGCATACAAAAATTTTAATAGTTTTGGAATGTCAAGTAGTAAAAATGCTGCTTTTTGCACAAAAAATGCATCTCTTCAAAAATTCGAAAATTTAAAATGAGTAAAAAATCATCGAAACGGAAGTTAGAAAAAGCTCCAATCAATAAAACGGTAATGATTTACCTTGTTCGGCTTGTCCTTCCATACCACCACGCAAATTTAGTTCCTGAGGATCTAGAAATTAAGACTATATTTATCATAATTCTACGTAAACATGGCTACTTTATACATAATTTTATCCGCACCCCGAAAAAAGCTCAGAAAAAATATGTTTTCTTGGCAAGTTTCTTATTTTCTAATTCCCTAAACATTAATATATATAAAATAAGAGCATTTTGCGGGATGTCAGATGGTTCCGAGATATCGAGTGACTCTGCGCCGCAGGATTTTGCATCGCAGGCAAACATTGTGATAATTTGGAATGTCAAGTAAGTAAAAAGTAGGTGCTCGTTTTTTTTATAAAGTAGGTGTTCGTTTTCAACACCAAATTTGAATCTGCCACATAATAATTATAGATAAAATCTACGTAATAATTTACCTAATCCAGCAACTTCTTCCATACCTGCACGTGAGGATTGCCCATGATGAGGAGCTAGAAAATTCAATAATTAGAATATTCAGCTAGAAAATTCAATAATTACTCAAAGTTTTATTCACTCTAAATAAAGCCTTTTAATAAAAATGGAAATTGCATTAAAATAACCTTCAATTCTGAGAATAGTTCAATTGCTTATATGGAATTAAACATTACTCAATTATTAGTTTTATTAATTAATATTAGCAGTTATTTGGAATTTAAACATAACAATATATTTGTTACATATCCAATAATTTACTCTTAAAGTGCTGCTCACATTTTGAGGTTTGGGGCTCATGAAGGTTTTTAATTTCGATTTTCTAGGTTATTTCTAGTTAGATTTCGATATTTGACTTTCATTTTAATTTCGAATTTAGAAACTTATTTTGTTTTAACCCATGCTTTGTCAGCCTGAAATATAAATATGCATAGGGCAAGGTCTGCTCAGGTTATCTCTATTAGAGATTATTGTGATATCTAATAAAATTATTTAAATAAATTTTGAATTCCTCACTTCCTCTGTCTTTACTCCCATTGCCACAAAATGTTAAATTAAATAAATTAAAGATGAAGAAAAGAAAAATAACATAATTTGAAAACTTCATCCTTTAAAAATCAGAAATTATTTTTTATGTTTAGCAGTAAAGGATTTACAATTAAATTTTCTTGTTTTAATGAATATTTTAAACGACTGAGGCAGAATGTCTTAAAGAGAACACAATTTAAATTAATTAAATAAAAAATAAAAAAAGTAACAAATCTTGACATGAATATATTTTTAAAATTAAAAATTGTTTCTAGAGCTTTTAAAAACTAAATGTTGTAACAAAAAATAAAAACAATATTTTATTATTAATGTTTAATAAATTAAATAAACCGATTTTATAGCCCCAAATGATTATCGTGTTTGATGATTTTAGTAGCTTTGTTTTTGGTGGAAATGTTTTTGGTGGAGTTAAAAGATAAAATGAGTGTTGAGGTCGTTTACACCCTCTCTTATAAAGCACTCGTTAGTCGTAAGCTCGCGTAAATTTACTTCCTCCTGCAAGACTTCCGACGCGTCTTGCAGCAGAAAATATAATGGGAAAATGGGAGGGTAATACATAATCATACATAATAATACAAGAGTCTTAAACGACTCCACAATCAATGAATTCTAATTAAAATTACGTCTATTTCTTTCTCCATCTAATAAAAAAATTTGCTCTTAGTCTCTCGCTTTATTTCCCTCACAGGGAAATTTCCCTATTGCAGAGAGCGGCTGTAAATGAGGAAGTAATATTAAATAGAAAAATCGGGAGTGTCGTAAAAGCGGAAGTGTCGGAATGTCGACCGGAAGCAATCGGAAGTCAACGATTATTACAAATCGGAAGTAATAAATATTGGAAATGCTACAGATGATATTTAATAAAAACTCAAGGCTTTATTTATTTAATAGAATTAAGTTGCATTGCGTTTTCAATTAGCGGAAACAGTCTTTACAAATATGGGGTTAAGAGGGTGGGATATTTGGTTTCTACAGAGTGAAATGTCGGAAATGTCGGATAAATGTCGGATTTCAGAGTGAATTGTCTGATAAATTTTTTGTTTAATTACTTTGCAAAAATTTTGGCATTTGTTAGGAGAATGTATACCGTATTTACTCGATTAATTATTTTTTCAACCCATCCATGGCATGGGGAATTAATAGGGGGTGGGGAATTATTTGAGGGTGTGGAATTAATCGAGTAAATACGGTATACATATTTTCAACTTCCTTTTCATTATTTCATTTGGGTAATTACATTGATATAATATTTAAACAAAAATTTAGAATTTATAAAAGTAAATTTAAATTTAAGATCGTCAGACAAACTATCAGAAAGTTTGATTGAAGGCATCCGTACAGCTTTATGTTGATTTTGGGTATAGTTTTTTGATTTTTGAATTTTGCAATTTCTTAATCTACGAACCCCTTTTATTTTAAACATTCTTATTTATCATTAAAAATGTTTCGATTTTTAACTTTGATTATAACTTTACACTTTTCAATAGAATATTTAACCTTGTTATATTAGTAACCCGACTAATGACTAAATTATATGACAAAAGTTTTTTATCATATTACGACATTAAAAATGATTAACAATGAGTATATAGAAACTTCAAAAAAATTCAATTCGGTGAATTTTATGTAGAATAGAACTCGATGCTCTGAATATCGCGATTTGTTATCAAAGTTGATTGAAATATTTTTCATAAGATGGTTTTTAGCAATCTTCCATTAATTTTTTATAATAGAAAGTTTTTACTTTATTTTCGTATTTGATCATACACAAGTCTAAAAATAGGCTTTTATCTTCTATATCTGAGACTTCTAGTTAAAATGAATGTTTCTTAATTTTTTGATTATTCCCTTGCAAATTGGAGAGCATAACGTAGACCATTATTTTTAGGAATTTTTTGTAAAGATTTATTTCAAATATAATCCTTAAATGACTTCAAATGATTTCTAGATTCATAAAAAAGTAAAATCCTAATTTTCGACATGAAACAGGGTGTTCCTTTTATCTTATTTCAGGAGCATTTTCATTTTGTTTGACCTTCTTGCCCTTATTCTGCATTGCCAAGTTTATATCCCTTATTGACATTACTCAAAATTTTTCCCTGCAGCGTCGATTTTCTATCTAAATTTAACTACAACTGAGGTCCTATTTTATTGAAGTCAACATTTAAATTTAAAATTAATTTTTAATAAAAAATCTATCAAACAAACAATCAATTAATCCGATATTTAATTCACGTGTATGTATTTCCTTCTCCATCTTTACTAAGAATATTCTAGCAATGTCTATCTCTTTCTTCGCACTCGTCGTTAATTTCTCTATAGAAGAGAGCGGTCGAAATATTTAATTAATTGATTGTTGGTTTTATAGATTTTTATTAAAAATTAATTTTAAATTTAAATGTTGACTTCAATAAAGTGGACATAAGTTGTAGTTAAATTTGAATAAAAAAAATTTGATTTTAAGTGAGATTGAAGAATAACTAATCGTTGGCCTAATCTCAATTGTATCTTACAGTCGTGTTGAAAATTGTCGTTACTATATTTATGAGCAAAATCCATGCCAAAAAAGAAAAGGGGGTTGAATTTTAAACCCCAGTTGTAAAACCAAAGGAAAAAGAAAAACCTCAATTTGCAAAAGGAAAGGAGTAAGGTGCTAATTTTTATAAAATAATAAATGAACTGAATTAGGCAGAAGCCTCTTCCGCCTAGTAATCACGGCTTTGCGTCATTTTCGCACGGAGCGAGCCAATTTTTCAAATTTTAAAAACACGCCAAACGCTAAAAACGTAAAATAATTTAAGAAATTTAAATTTAGGAAATTAAAAATTTGGCAAATTAATAAAACCAGATAAATCGATATCACTCCAAATCACTGATATACATAACTCGAAAAAAATCACTGATATATCTCTCTAACATTTATTACTTCAGATTTTTAATAAATATTAACTTCCGTCTGTTTCTTCGTTCTGTTTTTCGAGCAGCTTTCAGCTACATGGAAATTTAGAGAGATATAATGAAATAGAGAGAGATAATAGACGATGAAGAAATTACACGTAAATTAAATATAGAATTCATTGAATGTGGAGTCGTTACACGTATTTATCACATGTATTCATTGACTTTAGATGTTTTATTAAAAATTAATATTAAATTAGATGTTGAATTTAAAAAAGTCGGCTTTATTTAAAACGCTTCTATTCATAAGTGTAGATGATTGTTATTCGAATTTTATTTCATCTAACCTTTCGCTTGAAGAATTCGATAAATTTTGTAATGCCAAGGCTCGGATTTCTTCCCTTTTTAGAAAGTATCCTTAAATAGGACTCACCTTTCTATTACCGCAGGCGAAAATTTTGAAAATAAAAATTTCAGATTCGGATATCCGAAGGTTCATAAATATCCGTCAACTTTAATTGGTATCACGACTTTTGCGCCGAGAACATTTGCGTCGCGACTTTTGCGCCGGGCGACTTTTGCGCCGCAACTTTAGCGCCGCGACTTTTGCGCCGGGCGA